TAGCTCTTACATAGATTTTGAAGTCTGAGAAACTATCTCTCTCCAAGTTTGACTGAAAATGGAGTTTGTGGGGCACCTGGCTGGCTCAGTCAGTAGAACATGTGACTCTTGATCTCAGGGTCATGAGTTCGAGCCCCACCCTGGGTGTGGAGCCTACTTAAAAAGAATTTTTAAAAATGGAGTTTGTGGGCTTTTTAATTCATTCTTCTTGCTGTTATTTTATAGGTCCTAGAGAAGGAGAAAATGCAGACTTCTGCAATTGTGCTCATAGCAAAAGTTTTAATGAAGTAATTTTTGACCCAAAGAACACCCACTGATTTCTGGAACTAGGAGGCAATTCAATCAATCTTTGAACTCTGTCACACAAAGTTTTATTAGAAACATAGTGGGGATTTTGGAGAGAAGACTGCTGAACTTTGTGTAGTGAAATAGAAACTTGAATTGCCAGTATAGAGGGCTTAATTAAGAGATAAGGAAATCCACTCATTCACTAGAAAATAATTGAACAACTGCTTTGTGCTAGGCATTTTGCTAGGCAGTTAGGTAGTGGTTACTGTTGGAGTTAGTTTAATTCATGATTAGAATATTATTCCCCCTGAACCTCAGTTTCTTGGGGTAAACCCAACCTTATCTACTTTACAATGAAGCTCAATTGAGTTTCAGTATATGAAAGCACTTGGTGGATTTCTGCTTTTCTGAAAGGGGAATTTGGAGCCATTATAAGCTTTTAAGGAGTAAAGTATTGTGACCACAAAAAATGGGTGGAGCTTGTGTCTGGTTCATTTGAGTCCAGGAAGTCACTGATGGGTACGGAATATAGGATGTCAGGGGGCTATAGCACAAGCAAAGGTGGAGATGGTCCACGACCACAACAGTAGTGGAAAGGGAGATGCCTCTGGGAGTGAGGCAGGCAAATTATGGGAGCAAAGGTGCAATTGACAAATGGAAGCATAAGAACCAAGAGTCAGACGGGGTTGATGGCCAGGGAGCAATGAATGAAGGACATCCCCGGGGCAGAGACCCCCCCCACACCTGGGGGTCAATTTCCATTTGTATTAGGGGCTCACTTGCCCCTGTGTGATCCTGAAGTCCTCGCTGTACACTGGGGTTCCTGAAAACAGCCTCTGAGACTCTGAGATTAGCATACAGCAGATTGAATGGGGAGTCGTCCTGGGAACAACACCTATGAGGGCGTGAAGGAAGCAAGACTGAACAACAGGAAAAATTGCATTAGCGTGTGGCCACAACAGATGCCCCAGCTAATCGTACAGGGCACTTGGAATTGGAAGGGCCTGTCAGAGTTGTCCCAAATTGAGGCAAGAGGGCAAGTATTTATTTTGCTGCTGCCTCCCACCCCCCACATATTCTCTTTTAACTACCCAAACCACTGCCCCCCCCACCCCCGCCGACCACACAGTATGCTCTTAACACCACTTGCCTTTCCATCAGCCTCGAATGTCCTTCCCCCTTCTGTTCATCAAAATCACGGTCCTGGGGCACCTGGGTAGCTCAGATGGCTAAGTGTCTGCCTTCAGCTCAGGTCATGATCCCAGGGTCCTGGGATCGATCCCCGCATCGGGCTCCCTGCTCGGGGGAAGCCTGCTTCTCCCTCTCCCACTCCCCCTGCTTGTGTTCCCTCTTTCGCTGTGTCTCTCTCTGTCAAATAAATAAAATCTTTAAAAAAAAAACAAAATTACGGTCCTTTTAAAAGCTAATTGTAGGGCGCCTGGGTGGCTCAGTTGGTTAAGCGACTGCCTTCGGCTCAGGTCATGATCCTGGAGTCCCAGGATCGAGTCCCACATCGGGCTCCCTGCTCGGCAGGGAGTCTGTTTCTCCCTCTGACCCTCCCCCCTCTCCTGCTCTCTCTCTCTCATTCTCGCTCTCAAATAAATAAATAAAATCTTTTTAAAAAAAAAAGCTAATTGTATGCTGAAATTGGAAATTGAACCCATTTCTCCTTCCTCGGAAGTCCCAAAGCATTGTGTTTGTTGCTCTGTTGTCCTATCTGTCCTGCTTGCATTCGAGTTGATCTAGTGTTTGTGTTTTCCCTTTAGCAGATTGTAAATTCCACAAGCTTCCTCCTTTATCCTGTTAGTCTCCCCATAACCCGGCATCCTGCTTAGCACAAAATAGACATTCAACCAACTGGAACTAATTGTAGCCAATGTTCCAAACTATGAAGAGAGTTTCTCAAGGAAAATCTCCCGAAGGGTCTGAAGACCATTTGCCAACACCCTGTATTTTTTTTCTTCTCCCAGGAAGAAGATGACATGTATTTATTCGGTAGAATTTGAGTGCCTACTATGGGACAGATACAGGGCTATTGCCCAGGGTTCTTGAGATAAACTTCACAGGCTATCAAACTAATCATTTAAAAACGTGCAATTCAGCGGCACGTAGTATGTTCACGGTGTTGCGTAACCACCACGACTGTTGTTCCTAAACAAACTGCACCGAGTCTGCGTTCCCCAGAAGCTGGGCACGTTGCCAAGAGGAAGGGATGGGTCCAGTGTCTGAGAATGGAGAGTTAACCTCCCCTTTGTGGTACTACCTTTGTGTGGAAATCGCGCTGGCTTGTTTTCATGTTTCTGGTGCTGAATGGGAAGACACTTTCTTGTCAGTGTTCTGAGAGTGTCATGTCGGGGTATCACTGGAGCTTCCAAATTCCCCATCCTAAGGGAATCCGCCCAAGCTCTGGGACAAGGGAAGACCTGAGGGTCTTGAGGTGATGGATGACCCCCCCTCAGGACGAGGGACGGCAGCGGGCAGACTGCACCCCACCCTGTCTACCACTGTGTGCTCAGAGGGACAAAGGGACAGTGAAACCCCTTCAGTCCATCTGTCTTTCGGGGCCCTAAAATTTCCCTCTTGCTGTGATTAAATGAATACCATTACAAGCTCTATCAGGGAATAATCATCTTTTTTCCCATCACCCTGGAATATATTCCGCTTTACAGATGAGGGAAAACTGAGGCTGAAAGTAATGTGTTCAGGTTCACACGGGAGTGCAGAGCTAGGATTTGCAGGCCGGGCGGGGCAGGCCACACGAAGGGAGGTTTTCTGGGGAAACTGCCCGTGAACCCAGCCTAGCCCTCCCTGCCATGCATCCCAGCCTCCTGGCCACTGCTGCCCACGGCGCCACCCCCAGCCCCACGTGGCCGCCTAGACAGGTTGCCCTCTGGTTCCTCCCGCCGCCAGCCCAGTGCATCACACCCACATCAGCTGGCATCTGCAGCCCCATCAGGAAACCGAACACAGGGCGCCTGGGTGGCTCAGTCGGTTAAGCGTTTGCCTTGGGCTCCGGTGATGATCCTGGGTGGTGAGATGGAGTCCCACGACCAGCTCCCTGCTCAGTGGGGAATCTGTTTCTCCCTCTCCCTCTGTTCATGCTATCTCTCGCAAATAAATAAATTAAAAAAAAAAAAAAAGGAAACCAAATACAAACAGGATCAGGAAAAAAGGCTCTGTGGGACTATATACAAGTTTATTTTTGTCTATAAAGGCAACATCCACTTACCCTTCTAAAATCACTTCTCTGAAAACCAACTTTCTGGAAATGCATCCTTTATAAATGTAGAGCATGTAATAATGTGTAAATTTACAGAAGCATTTGAACAGATAACTCAGTTAATAATTTGCAAGACAGGTTTTTTTGGGGGGAGGGATTACAGGTCTCTCCCGACTTGATTAAAGTCTCTACTTAATTCTGATTAATTAAGGCTGGAAGAACAGAAATTTATTTTAATGGTGTCAAACAATTAATTACATGATTATGACTTGTAAGAAATGACTGAAATTTTGAGTCATCCAACAGTTAAAAAGGAGGCCAATATTTTAAAAGACAGGATGACATTTTTCACAACTTCATAATTTTTTGACGGTCCAGTTTATGCCACATCAGTAATAACCGTTAGTTGATTATTCTTGCCTCGCTTATTGGCAGGCACTTCAAACTTATTAAGGAAGCATTGTCATACTTTATTAGCCCTCGTTATTTTTAGTTTTGAAGGTTCTGTTTGTACACGAATAAGAGACCCTAAATAAATGTATCTGCACCTACATATTATTTGTGAAATTTGAATATTCATCTGTTATAATTAAAACAAAACATGCTCACAAGCATATGAAAGTGTGTTTGAGGGGCGCCTGGGTGGCTCAGTCATTAAGCGTCTGCCTTCAGCTCAGGTCATGATCCCAGGGTCCTGGGATCGAGCCCCACATCAGGCTACCTGCTCGGTGGGAAGCCTACTTCTCCCTCTCCCACTCCCCCTGCTTGTGTTCCCTCCCTCGCTCTCTGAAAGTGTGTTTGAATCTCCACAAATGTGTTTGGATCTTTTAATGCCTTGTATTTCACGTTTGGAAATCAGACCACGCTAATGCCTTCACATCCTTACACTTGTAATCAGCATCAAAAGTTTGGCTTCCATTAACAAATCATCCTTTAAAATAAAAGACTCAAGATCCAGGTTCATTACTTTGCTATTGGTTTCTGAGTACACCTGGCTTCCGGGAATATACCATGCTTCGGATATATTATTAGAAAAACCCTAGGACGGCATGCCAAAGTTTTCTGTATTGTTCCACAAAAGCTAGAAGTTCATTAAAAGGGCCCATTTTTCACATCAAGGAGCAAGGAGTAGCAACTGATTGCACCAGTCAATCCTCCACAGTTCCTCCTGGAGAACAGCATCAGTTCGAGTTAGAAGGGAATGAATGGTACTTCCCTTACAGGATTATGGATAGCCTCACTGAAATGCTGCTTAGCGCTCTCATTCGGTTTACTCATCCCTGCAGGCAGGCCATGAGAGAGGAGGGCTGCCGCAGCCCCATTGAGCTCTTCCTGCACTGAACTCGCCTGTGGCAAGAGGAAAAGCTGACTGCGGGGTGAGAAGCCCGTCCTTGGCTGTGGATGTAAGTCTCCTTCCTGCCACTTGCTCAGGAACTCGTACTATAATACAATTTTAAGCTCTTGACACGGGATGCTCAACTCCATCTTTTGCCTCTTCTTTTTCTACAGAGCATCATGGAGATCGTGATCCCCGGTGGACTGTGTGTAGGACGAGCTGGGAGTGTCGGGCGGGTAGAGTTGGAGGACCCTGCAATATTGGCAGAGCATGAACGGCCCGCTGCAGGTTTTGAAGAGCTGTACGATGTACTTGCGGAATTTCTCCCCTAGGAAAAAGTAGATGACTGGATTGAGGCAGCAGTGGACGAAAGCCAGGGTCTCTGTGGCCTGAATGGCATAGTCCAGGTGCCTTTCAAAGGTGCAATCCTGAAGGACCTCCAGTTCCACCAGTGTCTCCAGGAAGAGCACCACATTGTAAGGTGCCCAGAACCCCAGGAAGAGAGCCACCACAGCAAAGACCAACCTCACCGCCTTGCTCTTCTTCTCGTTTTTGCAGTGCTGCAATGTCCTGATGATCATGGAGTAGCAGAACAGCATGGTGCCCAAGGGAACCACCAGTCCAAGAATGTTGATCTCCAGGGAGCTCAGCACATTCCACCTCGTGGAGTTGAGAGAGTACTTGGTTTTGCAGTAGGTATGGTTGCGCTCAGTATAACAGGTGCTGAATAAAAGGCCTGGAAGGGAGGCCAGGACAGCCACGGACCACGTGGCCAAGCTGGTGATGACCCCATAAGTCAGGGTCCTCGCTCTCAAGGAAAACACCGCATGCACAATTGCCAGGTATCTATCGATGCTCATGAGCATGATGAAGAAGATGCCACTGTAAAAGCCCACCAAGTACATCCAGGAAATAATCTTGCAGAGACCTAGTCCAAAAACCCACTGGTCTGCAGCATAGTAGCCCCAGAAAGGGAGGGAGAGCACGAAGAGCAGGTCCGAGATGGCAAGGTTGAGCAGGTACACGTCGGTCATGGACTTGAGCCTCTTGTACTTGAACAGGACCACAATCACCACAGAATTTCCAAGGAGACCAAACAGAAAGACCAGGGAGTAGAGAGGGGGCAGGAAGAGCTCCCCAAACGCCTTGATGCCTTCTTTGGTGCAAGGCTTGGGGATGTTTTCGTAGAGATAGTAATTGCTATAGAGGCTTTCATCCAGGGTGGTGTCTGCTATATCCGTGGGGTTCATTTTCAAATCTACCAGCACCTTGGCTCAGGTCTGAGCCCAACCAGAAGCTAATGAGGGGAAGAGCAAACAAGATTTCTGTAAGAACAAAACCATATCAAAGTGGTGCTGAATACAGAGCATAGTTGCTTAATATTTTGCCCCGGATCATCACACACCCTTCCCAACCTTCCCAAGTTGAAGGGCTCCATTCCCCACAGGGCAGTGCAGCCAAATGGAAGAACCCTGCCCTTGGGAGTTTAGCAGATTCCACGTTCCAGCTCTGCCCCTTTTCTATCCCTCTGAGGGGAGCTTCCGTTCTCTCATTTGTAAGTGGGGACAGAAAAACCTCCTTCTTGAGGAGGTGTTTTCAAGGATGCATTTCTAAATAGTAGTCTGCAGTTACTGAATCATTTGCAGGCCAGTTGAGATTTCCAACAGTCCTACACCCAGAACCACCTTTGTGACATAAGAGCAAAAGAAAAAACAAAAAGATGAAAAATCTACGCATGTTTCCCCTTCAGATCATAGCTCCCAAAATTCACGAATTGCTTAATCATTGGGCTAGAAGGTTCGTCACCTGCCTTTATATAAAAATTCTAATTCCTCCTGCAACCTTGACACATAGATTTCAAAGTACGTTCCCTGGTAGGGCGCCTGGGTGGCTCAGATGGTTGAGCGTCTGCCTTCGGCTCAGGTCATGATCTCAGGGTCCTGGGATCGAGTCCCGCATCAGGCTCCCTGCTCCTTGGGAGCCTGCTTCTCCCTCTGCCTTTCTCTCTCGCTCTGTCTCTCATGAATAAAAAAAAAAAAAAAAGTACGTTCCCTGGTATTGTGCATTGAATCCTAATTCCATGCTCCTGTCCCCCACCACCCTCCCAACAAAAATCGGGCGCTCTAAGCCAAGCAAGCATACCGAACCGTGGTGTAGATGACTCATAAAAGCTTCCGAGAGGTTAAATGAGGCCACACAGCTATATGCAGAACTTTTCTTTGGGCCCCAAGTCCCGGTAGGGGCTGGTTGGGTGGTAGGGGACTCTGATCTATGATGTTTGCTGGTTTCTGTGGTGCAGATATTTCCACCATGGCAAAATTCCAGCTACCAACCACCTCACAAAATTCCTGAATCTTTGCAGTCCTGAGTTGGTGCAAGTTGTCTCTGGCACACACCACCAGGTCCCCTGTTCATTCTAGAACACCATCTTAGATGGGAACATGCCTGGCCTTCCAGGTTCCTTCTGGGCCAGTCTGATGCTAAGGCCCTTCTGAAGGCGGCAGCACTCAGATGGTAACTTGAGGGAACTTTTTGGTCTTTTCATCAAAACTGCATGCAAAAATCAGTCCTGTGCACAGAATCCCATCACAGAGGGAATTAGCCTGACAGACCTCGAAAAGGCACATCACAGCCAGAAATGAAATCCCTCTATCTCCCAACCACCCTCATTTCCTATCTAAATGGGCAGGTGAAGAGGTTAAAACCTTCTTAAAGTTAAAACCTTCTTAAACCTTCACATGTTCACGTGTGAATCAGAGCAATTCAGGGATGAAGGGCTTTCTTACTCGAGGCTACTTCCTCTTGCTTCCTTCTTAATGGCAGCCTGTGTTCCTTATTACAACACTGTTTGGTAATTCACATCTCCTCCCTACCACCCTCACCACCACAAGCCCAAACACTCAAACGACAAACTACGTTTGGTTTCTCAAGAGAGAGATTTGGATTTTCTCCTGCAAACAGATAACTGAAGACCTGGGGCATTGCAGAGCCCCTGAAACAATGTTGTAAAATGATTATCAATTCTAGTTAAATAAATAACAATCCTAGTCTCTCTCCACCATTTTGCCTGTGAAAGGTTAAGGAATAGACGAAGCTGAGGAGTTAGGAAATTATCAGGAGAACAAAAAAAGGAAACACAGCTGGTAAATGGTGGGAATCAGCCTTATTTGCTTTCTTGACCTGGGAATCTTGATAGAAGCAAGAAGCAGAAAAATGTGGATGTTTGATAAAAATTATCTGTGTATTCTGAGCATGTGGACTTGGGCCAGAGGTGCGCAGGGAGAGAGCCCTGTGTCTACGAATGCCCCTCAGACAAGGGCTCGGAGGATGTGAGTAGAAGTAGATGGTGTGTGAGCTCCAAGACAAGAGCCCGCTGGGAGCCCCAGAGTGCCCGAGATGCCTGAGTGTTGGGACTGGGTGGGCAGCGGGCCAGCTTATAGCACTTCCAAAGTCCACACACCTGTCCAGTGTCTAGAGAGCAGTGTGTGGCCTGAGGCCCTGGGAATGGCCCCGTCCCCACTTACCTTGCTTTTCTGACAGTGGTTCTGAGGAAGGTCCGTGAGCCAGTGCCAGACTTGCTCGAGAAGCACAGCGCTAAGAAAGACAGGTGCCTTTGAAGGGTGCGTGGCTTCCTGTGAGCACCAGCTCTAACCCTCACCCATCTATGCTGAGTTCAAGTGGGTTTTTTTGATAGAAGTAAGAAGCAGAAAATGAGTGACTAAGAGTCACTCATTTCCCCAAACTGAAAGCTAGGAAGGTTTGCTCTCTCCTAGATTAAAGAGGAAAATGAAGTAAGTTTTCTTTTAAAAGAGAAACTTCCTGATTTTTAAACATTTATTTGCTGGATTTTTAGTTTAAAAAATTGCCTTTGGCCGGCTACCTGCGGTAGAAATGATCTTTATGTTCTGGATCAGTGGGCCGTCCGTTGTTTGCCTCCAGAGGTCGTGCGGTGGTGGCAACCACGATGTGCCATATCCTCCAACAAGTGGGATCTGAGGAGGCCAGAGGGGGAGGCCAGACACATGCAGGAGAAAGGGTAACCAGAGGGGAGAAACACGGATGTGAATGTGCGTGTCCAGGAGGGAATCGGAGGGCTTTAGTCAACCACGTTCAATAACTGGGTGTAATGTGGCATCCGACAACCTAGCTTCAAGCCCCCTTTGCAACAGGAAGACCCCTCCCCACAGCCCTCTACCTGGAAGTCGTGGGGCTCCCACTGACAGTGATCGTGGCCGAGTCCCTCTGAGTTCACGTGGCAGTCACAGCCAAGCGGCGGACAGCAGTCCTGTCTTCTGTCGGTCACCGCCTCAGCTTCTGCCAGCTTCCAGACATCTTCCCTCTACTGTCTACAGTTGCTTAGCTCTTCAGTTCGGCTTAAAAGAGCCACAAAGCTCATTTTCCCTAAGGAGTTTGCAGGAAAAGGAATGAAAAAACCGAGCCAGAGCCACGTTTATCACCCTTTGCTCATTATTACCTCTCCCAAAGAGTCTTTTCAGTTATTTGTTTTCTTAAATCACCTCCCCATGAAATCTTAATACTGTTTATGATGTGGTATGTGTATATCAGTGCTTTATACATAAAAAGAGAAGGGTTTTTTTTTCACCCCCCAAAACCAATTTTTGCCTCCTTGAGGGCAATACTGCTTTTAGTAAGAAGGCATGAGTTAGAGTGGTGGGTCCCCAGGGGTTCTTTGGCCCCAGGGCTCATGGATGAAATCTGGAGACACTTTCTCTGGGGATGAGAGGAGCTGCTTCTGGCTTCTAACGGGAAGAGGCCAGGAATGCTGCTAAAATCCTACAGGGCAGTGGACAGCCCTCCATGACAAAGAGTGCTCCCACCCAGAATGTCAACAGAGCTGAGGCTGAGAGACCTGAGCTGGGGCAGCCATCCCCAGCGTGGAGCTGGGGAACCAGATTCACAGATACCCTGAGAAAAAGAAATGAAGATCTGCGGTCAAATCAGTACGGGGAACTCTGGGCTTGGGTTCAGGTTAAACACCGCTCCAGACTGCAGCAGTCTTGGGGCTTTCCAATGCCAATATCACTGTGAACTCTGGAAGCAGATATAGAATAAAAAAGTCCCTAACATATTTGGCCAGTGAATTTGCCCGTTACACAGGGTAATTTATAGAATTAACATATTTTTAGGTTCTGCCACCCTCTTTCTCTTCAACGGAGTGGCCAGGTAAGGTCTGGTGAAGGCAGCCTTGCAGCAGACGCAGAGATGCAGATCCTCGTGAAGACCCCAATGGGCAACACCATCATCCCTGAGGTCGAGCCCAGTGACATCATCAAGAATGGAAAGCCAAAATCCAAGACAAGGAGGGCATCCTGCCTGACCAGCAGCATCTATTTTTGCAAGCAAATGGCTGGACTACAATATCCAGAAAGAGTGAACCCTGCCCTTGGTGCTTCACCTGCGGGGTGGCCTCATCGAGCCTCCCCTCCGTAAGCTGGCCCAGAAATACAGCGGCGACAAGATGATCTGCCACAATGCTCCCTGCACCCCACTCTGTCACCTGCCATGAGAAGTGCAGCTACACCAACAAACTGTGCCCCAAGAAGGTCAAATAGGGCCCGTTTGACCGGAGGGTGGCCTCCTGCCCAAGGCCCAAGGCCCTAGAGCTTCAATAAAGTCTCCCTTTCATTGACTATAGCAGTAAAAAAAAAACACAAAAACTCCCTGTTTTTAGAAATGCGGAGCCTGAGGAAGCTTCTATCATGGAATACCAGGCCTTGAGGGACAAGTTAGAGAGCTGGGGGCACAGCTGGGAGCTGGGAAAGCCCTGGTCCAGCCCATCTGAGCACAGCGCCTAAGCCTCCGTGGACCTGGCTTTGGGGTGTTAGGGTTCTAGAACATGTGATAGCCAGAGGTCCCAATGATCATGTGTTATCACTGGTCACTGTGGGTCTGGAGAAGCTCCCTTGAAAGGCAGTTAATGCTCCCTCGACTGAAGCTGCCTGCATGAGAAGCATCACCGGGTCCAAGTGAGGGAGAACATGAGAACATGAGTTCCAGCATCTGTGTTGGTTGACAGCACCGGCCTTGAGGCCTGCTCCATCTGGCTTTGGATCCCAGTGCCACCACTTCACAGCTATGTGAACCTCAGTCTTCTCATCTGCAAAAGGGGTGCTACTGCATGAGGACGTTGAGAGGACCGGCGAGCTAATGTTGGTTCTCGATCACTAGTGCTGAAAATCAGTAGCGTCGACAACATGCACAGTACTAGCCTTCTCTCATGAAGTAGCTGAGCTTGGCGGGTGG